GCACTGAGCTAAATATTTCTTTGGGGTTGGATTTTAAGTTTGGAATCCTTGCAACATGGCTGCTTGTAAACACTATCCCTTTAGTCCAAGGTAGGCTGGAATGGTGACAGAATATTGTTTCTGAGTTTTAAATTCCAAGACTGCAAAAGATTGATAAGCTCAGAATTCTCTTTCTTGTACTGTCTCCTACTAAAATGCCAAAACTCGAGGTCAGACCATGGTTTCCAAGTTGATGGGTCATTTTCTCAGCACAGATAATGCTATTCCTAAGGGATTTCATTAGACATCTTTTGGCTTAAATTCTGATTCTTAGAGCAGTAGTCTGCAGAAATTACTTTAAAAAAGAGACACTATCCAGGCCATCACTGACTGAATGCAAGCTTTTAAACAGAAAAGTAAAGCACCACATGACAACTAAATGGATCACAGGATTCTAGGTTAGATCCTGGACCAATGGGAAAAAATAATTAGCTATTAAGAACATTATTGTGACAGTGGATGAAATTTGAATATGGACCATGAATTATATAATGGTATTATATCAACGGTAAACTGCCTGTGTTTGATACGTGTTCTGTATAATGGAAGAGAATGCCCTATTCTCAGGAAATATACTGAAATAGATGCTAAAGTGTTTAGGATCAACACGGTCTCCAACCTATGCTCAAGTGGTTCAAACATACATGAAGTGTGTACACACACACATACAATATATATATACTATATATGCATATCATTTTTATGAGAGAGACAGAAAGAGAAGCAGATGTATAGGATAATATGTAAATAATTGGTTAATCTAGGCCAAGGGCTTATGAGAACCTTCTGTATTGTTCTTCTGTTTGAAATAGCAAACAAGCATTTCCAAAACAGAAACTCTAAAACTATCCTTTTTTAAAAAAAATAACATAAAATGCCATTTTTCAAAGTCTCTCTCTGCAAAATTCATATTTTGTTCATTAAGCACAAAATTGTTTCAATCTGTCTATAACTATGACAGATAATAATGTGTATCTGTAAAACTACTGGAGATTATTAGGTGATAAGAGAAAAATATTCCATCAAGTAACAGAAGTGAAAAAAAAAACACATGTTCTGTAACTAAATGTAATCACTACAGGCACTTGTGAGGTTATCAGTATGAACAGTATAGAAGGCAGTAACGCAGAATATAGACTTTCCTTAAAAGGAAGGTAGAAAGCCAAAAAGACGGTACCTCCTAATTAGGGCAAAGAACACTTCTGTCTCTCTGTGTCTGACCACTGACACCCACTTGAGAGGCTGAAGTCTAAGAAGCCTGTCCTCATTACAACAGATGCAAATGTTTACCAACAAAGATTGAAAAGGGGGGGGGCCGTGGGGGGTTAAGAGTTTACTCATGGTTTCTGATGTGACATTTTCTTGTGCAAGTCAAAACACACTATGTAACATTTGTTGGCAGTCTGAGTTAGGACAAAGCACATACTGGGTTCAGCCATGTTTAACATTTTCATTACACTCAAAATGATGATTGTAGAATGGGGGCCTGATAATGAGGCAGAACAGAATAGCACTCAGTCAGGAGACAGCCAGTCTGTACCTTCAAAAGGAGGCTGGGAATTAATTAAACGAAAAGCTTGGGAGAGTTAATTGGGATGGAGTGAAGATTAGGACACTATCAATGCATGAAGAAATAAAACTAATCTTTTAA